GTTCAAAATAACAGTAAATGTTCAAAAATAAAAAGCTAACTGACCCCAAAAAACATGCAATGCCCAAAAATAACATCAATGACCACAAATAAAATGCTAAAATGACCACAATAACTGCTAATGTCCCAAAAAAAACTGTAACTGACACAAATAACATGTAACTGACCCCAAAAAAACATGTAAAATGTTCAAAAATAAATGTAACTGCCCACAAAAAAATGCTAAAATGACCACAAAAAATGCTAACTGACCACAAAAACATTACTGTTCAAAAATAACATGCTAACCGCCCACAAATAAAAACAAATGACACAAAAAACAGCTAATGACCACAAAAAAACTTAATGCAAAAAATAAAAATGCTAACTGACCACAAAAACTGTAAGACCACAAAAACATGCTAACTGACCAAATAACAGCAACTGTTCAAAAAAAAATGCTAACTACCCACAAAAAACATGCAAACTGACACAATAACATGCTAATGACACAAATAAATGTAATGACCACAAATAACATGCAACTGTTCAAAAAAAACATGCAAATGTTCAAAAATAACATGCTAACTGTTCAAAAATAACATGCTAACTGTTCAAAAATAACATGCTAACTGTTCAAAAATAACATGCTAACTGTTCAAAAAAAACATGTAAAAGACCACAAATAACATGCAAAAATGACCAAAATAACTGTAAACCCAAAAAACATGCTAACTGACCACAAATAACATGCTAACTGTTCAAAAATAACATGCTAACTGTTCAAAAATAACATGCTAACTGTTCAAAAATAACATGCTAACTGTTCAAAAAATAACTGCTAATGTTCAAAAATAACATGCTAATGACCACAAAAAAACTGCTATGACCACAAATAACAGCTAACTTTCAAAAATAACAGCTAACTGCCACAAATAAAATGCTAATGTTCAAAAATAAAAGCTAAATGTTCAAAAATAAAATGCTAACTGTTCAAAAATAACATGTAAAATGTTCAAAAAAAAATGCAATGCCCACAAAAAAATGTAAAAAGACCCCAAATAAAGCAACGACCACAAATAACATGCAACTGACCCCAAATAAAAATGCAAATGACCACAAAAAACATGCAACGCCAAAATAAAAATCAAATGTTCAAAAATAAAAAAGCTAACTGTTCAAAAATAAAAGCTAACTGACCACAATTAAAAATGAAGGTGGTCACTTCGGGTTTTTGTTCTCGTTCTAATTTTTTCGCTCAAAAATAGCTCAATTTTTTTTTAATTCCATTTTAAATATATCAGAAACACTTCCCAATTTTTTTTAAAATTAGAATATATATATATAAAAAATATATTTATATATATAAATATATAATATTATATTTAAAATTTTATATATATATATATATATATATATTATATTATATAATTCCCTTTTTTTGTGGTCTTAGCATGTTTTTTGTGGGCGTTAGCTGTTTTTGTGGTCAGTTTGCATGTTATTTTGGACATTAGCATGTTATTTGTGGTCGTTAGCATGTTTTGTGGGCAGTTTGCATTTTTATTTGGGGCAGTTTGCATTTATTTTGGTAGTTGCATGTTATTTGTGGTAGTTTTGATGTTATTTGTGGACGTTAGCTTGTTATTTTGGTCAGTTAGCATGTTATTTGTGGACAGTTAGCTGTTTTTTGTGGTCAGTTGATGTTATTTGTTGTCAGTTGCATTTATTTTGGGCAGTTAGCATGTTATTTGTGGTCAGTTAGCATGTTATTTGTGGTCAGTTAGCATGTTATTTGTGGACAGTTAGCATGTTATTTGTGAACAGTTAGCATGTTATTTGTGGTCAGTTAGCATGTTATTTGTGGACAGTTAGCATGTTATTTGTGAACAGTTAGCATGTTATTTGTGAACAGTTAGCATGTTATTTGTGAACAGTTAGCATGTTATTTGTGGACAGTTAGCATGTTATTTGTGGTTGATTAGCTTGTAGTAATATGTGGGTTATCACTTAATATTTGTGATCAACGTTACGTGCTCTAAGTCACAGCCTCACATAGTCTCCGCGTTCTCTATAACCTCGCCAGTTTTGTGCTTCCAAATAATTATTAATATTGGACTCAGCTTCGTGACACTGTAACTCATATTGACCACAAACGAACGTTTAATGTATTGGAAATCTTTTTGTGTTATGATATCGAGAAATCTCATATTAGACCTAAACTTATTGTAATGTTTGACCTAAATGTATTGTAATGATAGGCCTACACTTATTGCAGTGTTATGTAACTGATGTAATTTCAACATTTTTATTCCCTTGGCCTAAACTTTTTTTAAAATATATATATATTATATATATATTTATATATATATATATATATATATATATTATATATATATATATATTATATTATATATTATATATATAATATATATATAATTTTTTTTTTTTTTTTTTTTTTTTCAAAATTTCAGTCGATTTTAAATTAGAGGCACGTTTTGTGTATCCAGTATATATAATTATGGAAGGAAATCAGGTTTGATCCAAGGGAAAGGGCAAGGTAGCTCTAGTTCCCTGAACCAAGAGCCCCTGGTGTGTTGGCAGATTCTGGGCTCTGGAAGTGAGCTACGGGTGGTGGTGGAGAGTGCTACGGCGGGGTGTACGTGTGCGTGGCGGCCGTGCGGGTTCCGCAGTGGTGGTCGTTTGGGCTGCTGGGAAGGGGCCGCCACTTCTCACCCCGGCGAACAGAGGGGCAGGATGGGTGACCCGTTACCTGGAGTGTAAACCGTTTTCCATACCCTGCCCAATTAGGGCCCACCTGGACCTACAACGCAGGAATTGACCATCATATGTGATACTGCTTATGCTCTCTCTCTCTCTCTTCCTTACTCTCTCCCCACACACCACACACACACAGGGTTTTACAAGGTTATTTTAGGGCTCTCTCTCTCCTCTCTCTCTCTTTCCTCTCTTCTCTCTCCTATCTCTCTCTCTCTCTCTCCCCTCTCTTCAGGGTTTTAAAAGGGCTAGGTAAGGTTACCCTCTCTCCCTCTCTCTCTTTCCAGGGTTTTACAAGGTTAGGTTAAGGGTTCTTTCTCTCTCTCTCTTCTCTTTTCTCTCTCTCTCATCTCTTCTCTCCCCTCTCTCTCTCTCCCCTTTTCTATACACAGGTTTTTTTTCAGCTTTTTTTACAAGTAAGAGTATTAACTACATCAGCTTATTTAAACCTTTTTTATTGGTTATGAGTTATACAAATGGGGAAACAGATCAAGTTGGAGCCATCTGTGGGGCGCATTTTATTGATCAACTGACTTTATTTATTCGATTTCATTATTCTGTATGAACATGTTCCGACTAGTAAATTAGGAAAAATTTATCTCTATAGTGATATTCTGGAGAAGTTACAGCCAGAAGTGTATTGCTGTTAACTGTTTGTTGTCTGGGTCCAACGAGAAAAAAAGGGTCATCGTGTTCTTTTCTCTTCTGTCAAGGAGTCGTAGATGAAAGGGGGAAAGGGGAACAGGCATTCCAAGGGAAAATTTGTGAGCAAATTAAATGCCTCGTCCGTCTTTACAACCTCTGTGCTGTCAAGCAATGCGAGAAAACTCCAAGGGCTATTTGCTTCTGATGCCTGCTTGCATATTACAAACGTAGTTCTTAATTGTCATTTTGGAATCAGATTCACCCCTTGGATATCACCTCATCCCGGGGCCTCCAACACTCATTCTTTCTTAACCAATGTCCACATTGTTATCATAGTATCGAGACCATCATTAATTGTGTTGTCCCCGGAGCAAATGTAACCCTGCCATCTTTTTCCCCAGAGGGATATAATTTGAAAAGGATGTTGATGTAATAGACAGCTGCATTTAGTATCGGGAAACAAATGTATGAATCAGTCGCTGTATATGCATGGATTCTGGAATAGATGAAGAAGGTCCTTTGAAGTAGCATTTCACACGGGCCCAAGGCAAAACTTCCTGTGGAACACCTCACGTAGTATCTTGTTGCCTCTGTCCCGTTTGTGAACACGCATAGAGTTCTTGAAGGTAAATCACAGGAGGCATAGTGTAACCCGACTATTCCCAGGGGCTTGAGGCTTTGTCCAGGTTTCTCTCTCTCTCTCTCTCTCCCCTCTCTCTCTCTTCTCTCTCCTCTCTCTTTTACACGGGGGTTTGTAAAGTTAGGTTAAGGATCCTTAGCTTTTTGACAACATTTCAGGTTAAGGATTCCTAACTTCATTGGCAACCCTAAAACTGTTACCTACATCAGCTCATTTTGAAGCATTTTTATTGTTATGAGACATACAAGCATGGAACGGTTAAGGTTGGAGCCATCTGTGGGCCAGAAATTCATTTAAATAATTTGAACTTATCTCGTTGACATCTCTCTCTCTCTCCTCCTCCTCTCTCATCCGTCTCTTTTTCTCATCTCTCTCTCTCCCCCTCATCTCCTCTCCTTCTCTCCCCCTCTCTTCTCTTCTTTTCTCTCTACTTCTCTCCTCTCTCTCTCTCTCTCTCTTCTCTCTCTCTCTCTCTCTCTCTCCTCTCTCTCTTTTCTTCCTCTCTCTCTCTCTCTCCCCTCTCTCTCTCTGGCTAGAACTAATCTACAAGCTTGACGTTGTAATTACAAGTTTGCCACCTCCCAATCCCCCAAAGTTGGTGTTCTCGCGCTGACTCAACCATCCCTGCTTTTCCCACCACACGTACACACACCGTACACACACACACGTACAACCCCACACGTACACACCCAAGTACACCCACGCGTACACACACACGTACACCACACACGTATAAAACACACACACACACACCACACACACACCAACACACACACACACACACCCCACACACACACACAAAACACCCCACACACACACACACACACACACACACACTGTTCCCAAAGTATACAACAGAATGAACACACTTTTAACAATCTGAGTTTCCTGGCATACAGCGTGAACCTAGAATTAATAAAGTAATTGAAGGGAGCGAAATTTTCTGGCTTCAAGAGATTTATAAATGTGTTTATGTTGGTGAGTAATGAAGAGATAACTTCTGTAAAGGAAGTTGTGGAGAAGGTCACTAGAAACAAGCCTCCTCTTCCTCTTCCTCCTTCTCCTCTTCCTCCTCCTCCTCCTGCTCATTATTCTGATAATCCACATCTTCCTGATTCTTCGAATTCCTCCTCTGCCTCCTGCTTCTTATACCTACTTCTACTAATCTTTTCTCCAGCTCCTAATGCCCTCTTCCTCTTATTCTCTTCTTTTCTGACTCTTCCACTCTTTCCTCATATTCCATTTTTTTTTTTTGCTCCTCTTCCTCCTTCTGATTCTCTCTTCTACCTAATTCTTCTCCAGCTTTTTTCCCTTTCTACTCTCCTCCTCCTCCGCCTATTCCTGCTCCTCCTCCTGCTGCTGCTGCTGCTGCTCCTCCTCCTCCTGGAGCACTTCACCCTGGTCCCCCTGAAGTTCATCAACAGGTGGAAGACTAACACTAGTGTGGTGGGTCAGGTGACCCCAGGTACGCTGTAGTGGAGGACCGTCAAGGGGAAGGTCTGAGGAACGTGTTGGTGATCCGGGACGCCGTCAGCCATGACTTCGGCGCCTACAATTGCTCTGTAGTAAACGAATACGGCGTCGCCAGGAAGCAGATCAGACTTAACGAAGAAAGTAAGTTACATAAGATTTCTCACTTTTGACTCTAAGTAAATGGATTTTTTACCCAAAACATTTTAATTTTAGTGGATTAAAAAGAAATATTATTAAAAAATGCAAAATACATTCAATAGTGAAAATAATATGAAATGCTGATATATAGTTAATGGGGTTTGAAGTTTATCTGCTACACGAGGGTCACTAACACTGCATTTTACCTGTTTACTAGTCAAAAATGCTTGTACTTGGTTCGTTAATGAGGTTTAAAGGCTATCTGCTGCACTGTCATTGAGGTTTTATGGCAACTGTTCATCACAGTGCCCCAACGAGGAAGTAAAGTATACTGAGAGACATATATCTCTCATTGTATATGTTCACTTGTTAACGTGACCTATTGTGTACACGAGGTGTTGTGAGGGTTCGATCCTACGTGACCAGGGCTGGACTCTATGTGAACCAGGTTTTCACCCTCATAAATTTGTCTTCGATCTCACATGAACCCGGGTTGTAAATTACATGAACCCATTTTGTAAATCACACTAACCCAGGTTCGAATCCACATGAACCCGGATTCGAACCCACTGTGGTATACAACACGTCATGTACGTTCGAACCTGAAAAGTGTTACAGGTGAGTGTAGAGGATCAAGTATAACACAGTTTACCTGTAGTTTATCTGGAGTTTACCGCGGCTTGGTCTGAGGCCAGGCCTCATGGTGGATCAGGGTCTGATCAACCGAGCTGTTACTGCTGGCCGCACGCAAGCTGACGTACGAACCACAGCCCGGTTGTACCTGGAGAACCTGGAGAGAGTTCCGGGGGTCAACGCCCCCGCGGCCCGGTCTGTGACCAGGCCTCCTTAGGTCAGTGTCCCAGGATGCGACCCACACCAGTCGACTAACACCCAAGTACCCATTTTACTGATGGGGAACATAGACAACAGGTGGAAAGAAACACGTCCAATGTTTCTACTCTGGCTGGGAATCGAACCCAGGCCCTCATCGTGTGAAGCGAGAGCGTTAACCACCAGGCCAGGTACTGACTTTAGGTGCCTGTCAGTGCCCTCTTGAGGACAGCCAGGGGTCTATTGGTAATCCCCCTTATGTATGCTGGGAGGCAGTTGAACAGTCTTGGGCCCCAGACACTTAATGTGTTGTCTCCCAGTGTTCTCGTGGCGCTCATGCTTTTCATTGGGAGAATGTTGCATCTCCTGCCCAGTCTTTTGCTTTCATAGGAAGTGATTTTCGTGTGCAGGTTTGGTACCAGACCCTCCAGGATCTTCCAAGTGTATATTATCATGTATCTCTCGCCTGCGTTCCAGGGAGTACACACACACACACACACGGGAGGGGAGGACATGATAACGACATATAAAATACTGAGAGGAATTGACAAGGTGGACAGGGACAGAATGTTTCAGAGATGGGACACAACAACAAGGGGTCATAACTGGAAGTTATGACCCCTTGTATTGGAAGTATTGTTTTGACCTGGAGTTGTCAGGAAGTGGAACACTGGAAAGTGATGTAGTGGAGGCAGGATCGATGCATAGCTTCAAGAAAAGGTACAGTAAAACTCATGGAGCTGGGAGAAAGTGGGTCTATTAACGATCAGCGAAGAGGCGGGGCCAGGAGCTACGACTCGACCCCTGCAGCCACAAATAGGTTGAGCACTGGCCGCAGGTGTGAACGAAAATTCGAAAAAGAAATAGTGGATAAGAGTAAGGCAGAAGGAAATGTTTTATTCAAGACTGTAGAAGTACTAGTGAAGGTTCAAGACAAAACACAGATAAACAAACAACGGTAAATTTTCCCAAATTGAGGAGGAAATGTGTCGAGTATTATAGAGAAAATTTGTGTTGCAAAAAATATGAAGGATTTGAATCCCGACGGGATAGATGACTTAGAGGGTTAGGTAAGGTTTGTCAGGAAGCTGAACAAGTGTTTCCTGATGCTGGTCTTAGTCATATGATGACCCATAGCTGGAGCTTCTAGTCATGAGACCTTCTGCTGGCTTACCCGTCCGCCCCTTTAAAAATTAAGGTTATAATTATAACCACTTGTTTTATTGATGTTATTAAAGTAAGTAAACAAGATTAAAGTTATTGGTCCCAGATACTGGCACGAAAATTGTCCTGGGACCAGACGAAGTATCATATTGGGTTTTACAAGAATGTTCACAAGAATTATGGTGTCCATTTTCAAAAATTTATAGGCTTTTATTGCAAGAAGTTAAATTGGCAGACAGACGGAAAATGGCACACACAGTGTCAGTGTTTAAAAAAAAGGGAGACAAGGAAAACCCTCTCAGCTGAAAGTTGAAGATCCTCTCAGCTGAAGGTCGAAGACTCTCTCAGCTGAAGGTCGAAGATCCTCTCAGCTGAAGGTCGAAGATCCTCTCAGCTGAAGGTCGAAAACTCTCTCAGTTGAAGGTCGAAGACTCAGTTGAAGGTTTGAAGACCCTCTCAGCTGAAAGTCGAAGACTCTCTCAGCTGAAGGTCGAAGGCCCCCCTCAGCTGAAGGTCAAAGATCCTCTCACTGAAGGTCGAAGAAACTCCTCAGCTGAAGGTCGAAGATCCTCTCAGCTGAAGGGTCGGAAGACTCTCACTGAAGGTCGAAGATCCTCTCAGCTGAAGGTCGAAGACCCTCTCAGCTTTAAGGTCGAAGATCTTCTCGCTGAAAGGGCGAAGACTCTCCCGCTGAAGGTCGAAGACTCTCACAGCTGAAGGCGAAGACTCAGGCTGAAGGGCGAAGACTCTCTCAGCTGAAGGGCGAAGACTCTCTCAGCTGAAGGTCGAAGACCTCTCAGCTGAAAGTCGAAACTTTGCGAAGGTTTGAAGATCCTCTCAGCTGAAGGTCGAAGACCCCTCAGCATGAAGGTCGAAGATCCTCAGCTGAAGGTCGAAGACACTCTTTAGCTGAAGGTCGAAGACCTCTCTCAGCTGAAGGTTCGAAGACTCTCTCAGCTGAAGGTCGAAGACCTCTCTCAGCTGAAGGTCAAGACTCTCTCAGCTGAAGGTCGAAGACTCTCTCAACTGAAGGTCGAAGACTCTCTCAGCTGAAGGTCGAAGATCCTCTCAGCTGAAGGTCGAAGACCCTCTCAGCTGAAGGTCGAAGATCCTCTCAGCTGAAGGTCGAAGACTCTCTCAAGTGAAGGTCCGAAAGAACTTTCAGCTGGGAAGGTCGAAGACTCTCTCAGCTGAAGGTCGAAGACTCTCTGTGAAGGTCGAAGATCCTCTCAGCTGAAGGTCGAAGACTCTCTCAGCTGAAGGTCGAAGATCCTCTCAGCTGAAGGTCAAAGACTCTCTCAGCTGAAGGTCGAAGATCCCCTTCAGCTGAGGTCGAAGACCCTCTCAGCCGAAGGTCGAAGATCCTCCCAGCTGAAGGTCGAAGACTCTCAGCTGAAGGGTCGAAGACCTCACTGAAGGTCGAAGACCCCTCAAGCTGAAGGGCCCAAGACTCCCCTCAGCTGAAGGTCGAAGACTCTCTCAGCTGAAGGTCGAAGACTCTCTCAGCTGAAGGTCGAAGACTCTCTCAGCTGAAGGTCGAAGACTCTCTCAGCTGAAGGTCGAAGACCTCTCAGCTGAAGGTCGAAGATCCTCTCAGCTGAAGGTCGAAGACCCTCTCAGCTGAAGGTCGAAGATTCTCTCAGCTGAAGGTCGAAGACTCTCTCAGCTGAAGGTCGAAGAGACTTTCAGCTGAAGGTCGAAGACTCTCTCAGCTGAAGGTCGAAGACTCTCAGCTGAAGGTCGAAGATCCTCTCAGCTGAAGGTCGAAGACTCTCTCAGCTGAAGGTCGAAGATCCTCTCAGCTGAAGGTCGAAGACCCTCTCAGCTGAAGGTCGAAGATCCCCTCACTGAAGGTCCCAAGACCCTCTCACCGAAGGTCGAAGATCCTCCCAGCTGAAGGTCGAAGACTCTCAGCTGAAGGTCGAAGACTCAGCTGAAGGTCGAAGACTCTCTCAGCTGAAGGTCGAAGACTCTCTCAGCTGAAGGTCGAAGATCCTCTCAGCTGAAGGTCGAAGACTCAGCTGAAGGTCGAAGATCCTCTCAGCTGAAGGTCGAAGACTCAGCTGAAGGTCGAAGATCCTCTCAGCTGAAGGTCGAAGACTCTCAGCTGAAGGTCGAAGACTCTCTCAGCTGAAGGTCGAAGACTCTCTCAGCTGAAGGTCGAAGACTCTCTCAGCTGAAGGTCGAAGACTCTCTCAACTGAAGGGTTGAAGATCCTCTAAGCTGAAGGTCGAAGACTCTCTCAAATGAAGGTCGAAGATCCTTCACTGAAGGTCGAAGACCCTCTAATGAAGGTCGAAGATCTCTCGCTGAAGGTCGAAGACCTCTCGCTGAAGGTCGAAGACTCAGTGGAAGGTTTGAATACCTCTCAGCTGAAAGTCGAAGACTCTCTCACTGAAGGTCGAAGATCCTCTCAGCGGAAGGTCGAAGACCCTAAGCTGAGGGCGAAGATCCTCCAGCTGAAGTCGAAGACCCTCAGGTGAAGGTCGAAACCTCTTTGCTGAAGGTCAAGATCTCAGCTGAATTTGAAGACTCTCTCCCGCTGAAGATAAGAAAAACCCTCTCACTGAAACTTGAAGACCCTCTCGGCTGAAGGTCGAAAATCATCTCAGCTGAATCGAAGATCCCCTCAGCTGAAGGGCGAAGACCCTTTCGCTTTAAGGTTCAAGACCTCTCAGTGAAGGTCGAAATCCCTCTCAGCTGAATCGAAGACCCTTCGGGTGAGGCGAAAAACCTCTCAGCTAAAGGTTGAAGACCCTCTCAATGAAAGTTGAAGACTCTCTCAGTGAAAGTCGTCTTCCCCGACAAGTATTGTAAATCACTGGAAAAAATAAAAAAATAAGTGATTAGCACATGGAGGAGCAAGCTTCCTAACTGATCATAATTTGGTTCGCAGTCTCCTAATTCGGTACCAGATATATTATCCAGGGTTTCTTAACCAGGGGTATCAATACTCCTTGGGGATATGGGAACCAAATAATGGGGACCATATAATGGGGGTATGGGAA